ATTGTCGAGTTAAACGAAAGTGACAATGAATAATCAGGATTCTTAAAGAGAAATAAAAGCTGGTAACAAAAATGGAAAAACTGTAGAAAATCTTACTTATAAAGTAAGTACTCTTAAATCTAAATTAATACCAGAAACCTTATGTTGATGTTGATCGCAGTTGTTCGTTCAATTTGTATTAATAAGCAGGTCTTCTTATAAGCGGGCCACTTAACATAAAACCCAAAGAAGTGAAGTCTAAGTTCAAGACAGTAAACTGGAATTCAGCAAGTACAAGCTGAAGTAAAGCAAAACTTGATACATGACACAGGTTCGATTACAAATCTAGTTTACATAACTGCATATTAAGTGAACTAACCGTGAGTCAATTTATTCTTTTTTAAATAATTTACTTACCTCAACTTTGTACTGATCTTCATCCCACACGGTGTCCTTCATCACGCTATCTGGACTACTCAAATGGATATCAATGTAAAGAGGTTTTCTTTTTTGCTGAAGCGCTTTGTCAATCTCAGGGTCCCGTCGGAGCCCGCTCAGCGAATTCACTGACGCAGAACTACGGGCATCCGAACTGCTCAAACTACTGACGCTGCCATCTTCCAGCTTCGAAGTGACGTCATCGCCATTAGTAAGCACCGCATCATCACAGGACGTTACGTCTACCTCACTCACAGTTTCTTGAATGGACTCAAGCTCCGAGCAGATTTTGACCACGTGCTCATCTCTAATGTCCTGTTCGGTAAACATGAACAGTGTTGGGTGTGTCGTCGGTGAGGACACATTGTTAACGGCACATTCGCTATTCTGGTCCTTTTGCCCACACACGTCCTTGATCGTCATTCTGGCCTTCTTGATGATCTGGCCGTCGGTTTCGGTTAGGGGACGCTTGTACGAATGGAGGACAAATCCCGCCATCCCAATCATATCACTTTCCTGTATTTCTCTATCGCGGAACTAAACCAAAACAGTCGCAGTAACAATTAGGTACGACAACTAAGCAAACCCCTTGTTCACACCTACAATCTATGGTCTGCCATCTTTTAATGTATAGCAGCATGAGCTATTGTACTAGTTCTGACCTCGGACTGGCGTAACTACTCAGTACATCTGCATCTGCAACACTGACAGAGATACAGCCAAACCCACAGGCTACGAATGACCACAGACTCCCACACGCTCACACTCATTCACGGATACGTCCACATACAGAAGAAACAGATCCATAGAAAGCAAAATGGTTAAGAGTAATGGCTGCGGTAGAATTTCGAGAAATTCGAAGAAGGTAAGAGCTAGACTATCGCTAATGGTAAACTATAATAGATCGTCTTTGCCATTCACTAGTGGGTGATTTGACGCTAATCAAAAGAGACATAGTAACATTCGTTTACACGTTGTCCACCAAGAGGAAGACCACAATAACGGCGTGGATCAATGGTTTACGGTACAGTAAGCTAAAGGGAGACTGGTTGCTTGTCAATAGTAGCCCGTATGAAGTAGGAGTACTACTCAGTGGTGTTAGAGTGTGATGACTCGTGGTTGAGAGAGTAACGAGGCTTCATCACTCGGACTACTTCATACTTGAGAAAGTGCCGTGTCGATGGTACCGTGGAGATCCATTCTCGTTGGAGGCTGTCGACAAAAGAGCCTCGAGGATCAAGGAGCTGACCACCATGGCGCCATCACGGTATACGAACGTAAGAATAAACGAATTCGACAGCAAAGTAGCAGATTACAAATCACATCAACAGGCAGCAGCAGCGGCAACCACAACAAGAGTGACATCTGTCCAACGCCAGCAGACCACTTGTCGTTCTGCGTTGTTTGATATTGCACTTCTACATTGACCTATTGACTTTCTTTTGCGGTGCCTAATTTCGACGCTTACCCATCACGCAAAGCTAATTGGACAACGACAGAATCGTAACGCAGTCACAGTTTAAATACGTGTGCACAAGGGAGTAAGACAGTTCCTTACCGAAACTACCAATAGGAGCATCAATAGGAATAAAGAAGACGACGATAACGAAGGCAACCATGACGCCAGCCAGGTCATTTAAAATCACTGTATTGACATACATGAATGTTTCGCAGAGGACGCAATCCATCTTACATACACAGCTTACTAATTTATATACCTCTGTGATGCTTGACGAATATCAAAAGGAATAATTGGTTACTTGTTATGTTGCCCTATTTATTTCACGTAGAGAATTCTACCAGTATGTTATACAGAGAGGTTACAGCGTCGATATGTGTGAGTCAATAAGCTGATATGAATAGGGATCTGCATATGTTGTGTTTAATTTATAGTTTAATTTTCACCATTGAGTATACATTATCTTTTGCGCATTCTTCGTTTCGCGCCGTATGTTTTGAATTGGGTAGACACCAATCAAATCGAACATCTTTAATCAGCTGTAGGCAATGACCTCCGTCAACCATAAGCTAAAGTACGGGCTGTTTGTCATAAACGAGCAAGTCACCATTGTTTCCTACAACCCATAAGATGATGGTTTTGCCACGGTTTCTTCTTATTTAAAAAGAAGTATGACAGAATAATTTTTTAGATACAATTTGATAATTAGTAATCATAGTTTAAACACTAGGACTAAACACACCAACCTTTAAGTTTAGGTTGATGAACCACTGCTAGACTTCCTACCGAATAAAATCAATAAACGGATAACAGATTTCCCCTTCCTGGAAAGTAAAGTTAGCTTTAATTTTGGCTTGATACGAGTAAAATAACATAGCCGGCAAAAAACAAGATTCGCTCAGGTGCGCGGAAACCAATAGCACTTGTGTTTTTTCGAAGGTACATATGTAAGTCGGTAACACTGACTGCATCGGTTGTACCTACATTATCTGGAGAACGCATTTAGACCACATCAATCAAAGATAATTGGAATCACGAAGCTACATAATTGAGAACTCCACTTCACCGTGAGCGATTTTCGCTGTCACATCGTTGTAAATCATCGATGTGTTCAGTTTCTGCGGATTGTGTCCGCGCAGAGAATAGACATCCTATATGCTCTAGACGGCCGAGAGAGGGCGCTGCGCAAGCTGGTAGGTTTAAATTTTCGCGCCGAAGTATCTTCCTATCCAGAGCATGGAAATTTAGCTTTCCGCTGACGCCTTCTAAAAGTCGGTACATTCATGTGATGCCTTGTACTATTAATGCAGGAGTTTGTGGGGTAACGTACTTTGAAAACTTAAGTGTGCAAATGCTCATACCAACTTTGACAAGGACCAATGGAGCAACAGCGGATGCGAACTATCGGTTGTATTTAGTTTTGGCAGAAATCGAGGATTCGCGCCAAAGCGTCGCGTTTGAATTTTTCTAACCGCACACATATAGCGCAGGTAATTTCTTACAGATGCGAAGGAGTCGTGCTGTTTTGGGCAAACGTGCATCCCAAGCAAAAGTACCTATACTACATTTAAGTTGTCATCAATTTTATGTTGCTAGACTTTTCTTTTATGACAACTACGTTGTGGATACGTATTTAATGTGATTTGTAATTGTTGGTGCTTGTGTATTTGAGCCTTGATGAGCTTCTTCGAAAAGCGTTACGTAGTTGCGGTAAGTTACTTGGCTTATGATGGTGATGACTGCTACTGTATGTAGATTTGATATCGTAGGTTAGCAGCACAACTAGGTGGTGAGAAAGGTATACATTTAGATGGGCACTCTTCACTGTGTCGCATGCTAGGTCAATGTACTTAGCTGCATGTCCGCGCTTGGCAGATTGGTCAGCCCCGATGTTTTGCAATATGTTGACGTCTTCATGCACCAGTTCCTGCTGATAATCTACACGTCATATAAAGGTTTCTTTAGCTACTGCTGGGTAGAGTGACAATGCAACGGGCAATATGCAGTGACTTGCTGTTTTCAACGTACGATGTATGTGCATTGTCGGAGGCGGAAACAGACGTACATAAAATAGCGCTTGGAAACGGTGATGGAGAGAAAAACCGTTGTGCTTAGCGTTAGGCAATGTTCAAGCAGAAAAACTGAGCGACAGAAGTGCCCCGTTGTCCGGAAAAGGTACCACTGGAGGCTTCTTGCTTTAAAGTCAATGAACGTCTGTTTGGATAATCATAATTTAGATATCGATGTTGCAACTGTCTTGTTCGTTTGCATGTGGATGGCATGTCTGTTGTAACTTGTTGAACAGCAAATAATAAACTTGGATTATCTTTGATTAATTGTAAGCTTTGCGGTTAAGTGTTTACAAAAATAATATGGGCTCATTTGAGCGTTTGGATCAGAGTACGGCTGATTATTTGCGGTTAATTGAAGGAACTTGCGAAACTTCTATTGGCCGTGCTACTTCTTTGAGATGCATTAAATTGAATGCTAATATTCCAAAATGAGCCTTACAAAATTTGCAATATCTATGATCTATCTATAGCGCTTAATCAGATAAGCCGCCCATATAAAGACGGTTTACTGTTAAAAATATCAGTCAGTGCCTAATATGATACTCAACTTGCGACTAAGTAGAGGTATATGAAAAAAATTCACTGATAATATGCTTTTATATCCTTGGCGAATTAGTTCCGCTCTATATCCTATCTGTGAGCAAATCTTTAATGAAACGTTGAAGTGTGCCATGTCAAAGGTTTTCGAAAAGTATTGCGGGAACTCGCACTAGGTGTTTACGTATATACGTATTATATATACCCTAAATAGGTTAGCCGCTATATTGAAAGTAAACAAACTAATTTGGATCTCCAGATGAAAATTGCGTATTACGGTAGATTGAATAGTACTTGTTTTATATTTAACATAACTTAAACATATACAAATAGTCAATATGATACACTGTTGCTGTATTCTGTGTATTAAACTTATACAAATAGTCAATATGATACACTGTTGCTGTATTCTGTGTACAAATTACATCATTTTTTTTTCACTTTTACACGTGGATTTTGGGGCATCTCCATAGCTTGTCAGTTCCTTGGAAATGTTCACGTGTTCTTTTTTGTTGAAGAATCGCGAAGGCCTTGTTGGAGTCGTATGTATTTTATAGTGAACCTCGATTAATAACACGGAAGATGATATTTCCGTGCGCCACACTTCAATACCAAAACGGTGAACAAATAATTGACAGCCTTTAAGAACAAAAATGCAAAACTGATTTGGAAATTTTCTTATGTGTTACATTTGTGCCATCGAACCTGTCGTAGTGATCATCGAAGTTGGATCAATATACGGAAAAATTTTAATCTTCGTTTTACTTTTCTGTGTGCAATAGTTCGTTATATATTGATTTTACTTTTATGATTAAGCAGCTAAGCATATCGTTGATTGGTACAAAAGCAACATATAGAGTAAAACAAATTTAATAAAACAAACATGGAGTCAGCGTACAGCTAAAAGATTTGTAAGCATATCTGTATGGTATGTTGCTCAAGTAAGTTTGTTCGATCTTTAAATTGGAGGTCACCTCAGCATGGGTGGAGACTCAATGGACACACACAAGGCAGACTACTTTATGATATTAATATCTTTTTACGAAGTTTTACAACGTTTACCCTCATTAGTAATACCGAGTAATTTGAACCAATAGATGTAGAGTCTTTGTTGAACTTGTCTAATAGGTTGTTGTTGATCTCCACGCAGACGAGCGGTATACTGAAGGGCTTAACTGTACCACTTGTTTAGTTCAAGTTGCGTCCTATCAGTATTAGCGAAAGCCCACACGCTTCATAAGGTTAACAAACTAAACGGTTGGGTTCCGCCACAAAAAAGGTTCACAGCGACATATGATAAATGGACAATTTTCCCTTAGCACTTCCAAAAAGTACAGGCCTTTTCTTTGAATTTTGATCTGAAAATTCATAACCTTTGAAGTTTGACAATCGAAACAAGACAAAAGAATTGAAACATGTTACGTTTTATAGATTTCTCTACTCTGCTGTACTAGCCGGGCTTTTGTGCACTTCAAGTAGTTGTTTTATTAATTTACGTTAGTTTTTCCAGGTGACGTGATTCGCAAGTATCCACCATGGAGTCTACAGTAAGTATTATGTAAAATACAGTACTGCGATGATTGCTTATTACTGTCGCTATTATGTAGGCACAGTCTGAAATCGAAAACGAATGTATTTAGAAATATATTTAATTGACTGTTATTCTGGCTTCTAATATAATTCGTTTGGTGGGTCGGCGAATCATGCTATATCACGAAAACGTCCTTCTCCGCATCGAACGTATGTATTAGAAAAGGGATTGCTGAGAATAGCGATTTCTCAGCACATTTTAAGGCCGAGTAGCCTTTATGATAATGGACAAGCTTAGTACGCTCAACGGCACCATAAGGAAGTAGGCACGAAGTGATTTTAAAAATCGATAGCTTGTTCTTGTTGAATAAGTAGGTACGCCAGTTTTTTAAAACATTCGTTATAATTTCCTGTTGCATTCTTATGGAAACTCTATTCATAAAAAATGATTTGAAAGAAAAAATATCAGTTATGATGACCAACTTGAAGAAACCTGCAAAAATATGACACGCTGCAGTACTGCAATAATTATTTCCAGCCAGCGATTTTCAATATTTTAAAACATTGTTTTGAAAATTTGGTTATTTGTTTGTGTTGTACGCCATAGTTGATTCGTTGGTCAACCTTTCATGCATAATTATGATGGGTCTACAGAGCGATCTTTTTACACTCCTTACCGTAGTTGGAATTTACAGCTTCCGCTTCAGAGTACTGGTTTACTACCGGATCTGGCCGTTAACTGGCTACTCTCACGATTTTCGTTAAGTTTTTTGACTTGCCATTTTTCTGCATCATGTGCGAGAACTAAATACCAATTTCTTTCTTGACCGTCGTTTACGATCCACCAAGTCAGCAACGATGAAGGAACGATCACTGATCAAAAGCATGTCATTTTCCCTTACTGCCAACCGTCGACATTTTCAAAGATCAAGAAAAACTGCTTTCATGTAACGCCGCGTTTAAAGAGTCGTTGATGTCAAACATTTGTGGTGGCCCGTGATTTTGACGAATACTCGTTTTCAAGGTGGGCCGGTAAAGCGGTGGTCGGAGCTCGCCAATGTGAGCCAGTTTCTGTTCAATATTCTTTGTAAACATATTTATGGTTTTTTTTTATCAGCTTCCACTTTGACTTAGAGCAATATTATTAGTTAGCTCTGAGCAACTCACACTCAGGTACCTTGCGTTTTTGGGCTTCTTCGTTATTAAATTCGTATAAGTATATAAACACGTCGCAGTTGTTAGCCTTTGTGCGCAGTGTATCATGTGATGTGTAACTGCACAAAATTACACAACATACGTCTCCATCGATGGTCGATCGAATTTTAGAGATATTTTTCAACAGTCAATATCAAAGCCGGTTTTTCTTAACCTTAGACACATGTGTTTATTATTGTTGTTCATGTGTTACCAGTGCTAAGTTTTTACTCTTATAAACCGACATGTTATATAATTTCTCTGCGTAGAATAGACAAACACGACCCGCTCTTTTTACTTCCAAGGACTGTCATAATGATCTCAACAGAATGAAATTGTACAGGGTGCTTGAAACTAATTTTAATTATTCGCGTCATATGCATTGTTATTGATTCCATCACTTGGCGGCTAAAATTTAGAATTACAGTCAGTCCTAACTGAAAATTATATCGATATGCTTATCGCTATCGTCAGTTGTGTAACGCCTAACTTATGTCTATCACGGAAGGCGCTATCCGCTTTCCCAGGCAGATGCATTCGAGCCGAATGGTGAAATCATAATGTGTTCGCAGGATTTTTCAAAGAGGCGCATCGTCTTCCGGTGAAGGGCCTCTTGGCGTAGTACTATCAGAGCAAAAGGCACATGGTAGAGATCAACCGCAGGTCACAGTGTCACACTTAAGCAAATAGTGCCGAGTGGCACACTGGACTTTTGAAATGCTGTTAATCATATTCGTTTAGTCCTACAATAGTTTCTTCAATATAGGTCCACGATGTGCGCATGTCTAGAGAGATGAAAACGTGTTAAAACGAAATACAGAGTGAAGAATAATCTGACTGCATAAGATAGCCACGGAGCTATAACAAACGAGCCCATTTTAGGCTTGCTTATTGCGATTTTAGTTAGTTTTGGTGTTTTCCAGAAGCTTAACTCATTGCGTTCTAACAGTTAGTAGTCGTGCTAGCGTCATTTAACAAGGAATAATGCTTACTTTCTCGCATAATCTTATGGCATTTTTGACACCTTGTTCAACTTGATGGATGGTGCCAACATATGCTCATTGTTTCTATCAAATTACATATACAGCTGCACGAAACTGATCAAGGATTACCGGACGACCTTCGGTGCTTTGATGCAGTCATAGAGAGATGTTTTTACCAAACAACACTTCGGTCGACAGAAGGCAATTACTTTTTTTTTAAGTTTTTCTTACGCCTATAGCATTTCCTTGTTGCATAATATATTAAGAATGTCCTTATTGTGCTTTCTGATTGTCCACCCATTGCCTACCTAACATCCTTTAGTTAGTGTAATGTGCCGCCGTCTTTGATAGGCAGGCATTAAAAAACACAAGGCTTTTTTTGTATGTATTCCTATTCTGTTTCTTATTTCCTCTGAGTCACAACTAGTACAGATGCTGTCCTGGTACGTCGACTCGGCCTTCGTACCTCAAGTCGCTCTGATCATTGCACTCTTCGTTTACGGAGTGAAATGGCGCAGTGTTCGCGAAGTCTCCTCTCTTCTTTCGCTTTGTCTAATGCTGTAAATGTAAATTCTCCTGATTTAATCCAACGGTTTCTGGTAGCTTGTAGCGCTCTACTGAAGCTATCTACCTGCGTATGCTTTTTGCCCACGCCCCTGTGGCAGTTGTCGCAGCCACTTCTTGTCACATGAGGGTTTTACCTGTATGTTTCGACAGACATACCTCAGTTCAGGTGGAGGTTTACTTTTTTCCTCTGCTTATTCCGAGGGCAAACCACAATAAAATTAGGACCTTCTGAGAGGAAAGCACAAACAGAAAGGAAAGGAAAGTCATTGCAGGGATTGGAGACGTAGATACACTCTGAAGGTAAAATCTCGTTTCATCCTTATTACAAAACCTTACTTCAGCCCAGTCTGGTCTAGTCTAGGTCTAGCTTCCTCAGGTCTGATCTATCTTCATTGGGTTCCCCGTCAGCCTGATCTAGCTAGTTCGACCTGACGGGCAACGGGAAAAGTGATCAGGACCTGCTGCCACCGACTTGCCCGAGCGCGTATTGCTAAAAGGAGACCAAACCCGAGGGACACAACGACGTGGCACGAACAAAAAAGAAGAACAACTGTGTAGTAAAAGTCGGGAAGTGGTCTTGTGGTGCGCGTTTTCTTTGTGCCATTATAAAAGCGTGAGAGAGAATCAATGTCATACCTAGAATGACTATGTGGGTTCTATGTGGCCGGGGACTACGAAGACGAGAAGTAATATCGCACGTGAACTTTCTGGACATAGTCGCTACAATGATCATCATCGCCATCATCATGTTGAATGGAAAAAAGCATCTGACTGGGAAGATGGAGAGATGGAAGAAAGGCTAAGCTGGAAAAGATGAATGCAAAAGACGAAGATTGGAAAAGGTCGTCTGGTGGCTGGGGAAGGATGACAGCCCGAACGGCGCTAACCGGGACGAACAGTTGTTTCTATACATACGCTGCATGCGTCGACGGCTAGTGCTCACAACCGCGATCACAACTATTATGACAAGTTCTACAAGCATAGTCGCTCTGCCTGCAGTAGCTGCGGACAGTATAATAATTAAGTTGTGGTCGACAGAACACAGAACAATACGCGTTGGAGAGAGGTTGGATGCACTGAAGAATAACGAACATAGGACGTTACGAAGGAACAGAACGCGCTAGCGTTCGTCGTCGAAGAACAACCAACTGAAACGCCTCGTAGCAGCGCGAAGTGGAAAGGGACGATTCTAGCTGGGTAGCTGGCACATATTGAAAGTAAGGCTGGAGATAGAATAAGCCACGAGATCGGAAAAATAGAAAGAAAAGTTCGCCGCCATGGATACGAATCCCCTAATGGTCGCCAAGCGACAGGAAAGTGGTGTTCAGTAATGTCGTCTTTGTGCTTTGATTTCCGGTGGAAAAGCTTGCTGCGTTAAAGATAACGGTACTCGTAAAGCGAAAACTAAATTGTTACAAATAGTATTTCATTGGTAATAATTTCGATAGTGGCTTTACGGAATCAAGTGTTAGAATATTAGTTCAGTGCACGTAAAGAGTACGCACTGATTATCGATTATTTACTTTTACCTCTAAGGATAAATTACGTAGTATACTACATGGTGAAGTGCGCATCCAGTATCGTAGTTGCTGCTTATTATTCGTTAGGGAATATCTTCTCAGACGGTGGCACCCTGGAGGATTGGCTGGAAAGTTTATTTCAAAGTTGACAGCAGCGTTCGTTAACAGTGGATGATACTGACCAACATGTTAAGGTATTACATTTTGAATATATGCATATTTCAGAGAACAAGTAACGCTATGTGTGTGTTTTTTTCCCATATATGGACACCTTTTAATTTTAATTCTCTACATTTTCCCAAGTCGTACACATGACTATGAATAGTAAATAAGAGAATAAACTGTTTTTTCTGATATGTTTCTACATATATTCACAATATTTTCTATAATAGTTTGCTACAATTAAATGCCAGACTTTTTGATATCTGTTAAAAGTAATTCATAACGCGTCTTCATTAGTAGTTTACGTTCCTATTATCACTTGTTGATAATAGTTATATTTAGCTATATTTACATAATTTAAACTTGCTCAAGGTCGTCCCTTTAGGTACGTTTGGTATCGTTGCGACTGACGACAAAATTGATCTTGAAGAACTGTGCACTCCAAACACAAAGTTGAAGTCGTTTAAAGCAAGTGTTACGCTTTTACCTAAATATCGCCGACGTGAATCCGAGTCTGCTGAAGCTATGACTCAGCATACTCGAATTTATCATATATAAATAATATATAAATATCACAAAACATATTTCGACGTGATGCCACAACTAATCATTCGTCTGTGGTACTTCAAGCCAGATAGTGTATACTTCTAGATACAGGCACGCCGCGCTTATCATCTTCTAAATAATAGACAATAACAAGAGACGGTTTAGACATAGTTAAGTACACTCTTCATTTTGCAATTGCGCCATTCCAAGTAAGCAAACAAGATCAGCCCCTTAACCGCATTACAAATATACCTTCGACGTACCATCGTACTGTGTCGGCAGGTTTACGCTGTAGCGTGTTTGATATGTCATACGACGTCTGAGCAATAAGTGTACCAAAAGAAGTTTACGTCGCCGAATCTGGGTCTTCGTCAGCATTATCGTCTTCGCGATGCGTCCGTGTTGTAGTTGCCAGAATCGTAAAGCTTGTACAAGCAGTAGATTTTAGTGCGGCGGTTAACGTCGTAGGAACAATATACCATAGACCTCTGCGTTGTTTGCAGGTTGTTGTGTAAGTTCTATATGCAATTTAGCCACGTGCTTTGTCTCGGTTCATTTTATAGGCAATAGCTCTGTAAAATGGTTTACTTTGACAAAGAGTATACATTCACTATAAGTTGTGATTATTCTGCGTGAGTGGCTATCGAGCATTTTAAATGAGGTTTCATTCTGAATTAGGCGCGTGTCTGACTTTAGGTGATTTGATACACTTGGTTCGAAATAGTGACACCTTGAGAGAGGGCGCTGCATATACCTCTCCAAATCCCAAAGGAGTAAGCAAAACCAACAAGTATATATCTGTGAAATGAACTACATACGAATTTATATATACGAGAAGCTTCTAGAGCGGCCGACCATGGTAGTTCACTCAGTTTTCGTGAACTGTTCCCTCGTGCAAGTAAGCCCGTAAAACCGACTCATTATAGCCAGATGTAGATAGCTGTTACGAGTAGATCTGGTGAGTTATTCCTGGTTCATATTCGTTCTCGTTGGTATACTGATTGCAGTGGAACCCAATTTCATTATCTTACAGACAGACTTTGCATGTGTAAAGTTAAAAACTGTCCGTAACAGTGGTGACGTGAAGACATTGTAAGATTAAACAATTTACTGTTATATGTTCATGTTAATCAGTGACAACGAGAAGCTTTCAATTCAAAAAAAGACATATCAATCATTTGTTGCGTGTTGCCATTCACAGTTTAGTTGAATTGCAATACGTTGTACCGACTACCTTTTTAAAATGGCGAAGAGTCATCACGACTCTTCGCCATTTTGTGTAGCCATACCTTTGTGTAGCTTACAGTGCAAGAACAACGTAAAACGTTCAATGTAAAATATATAGATGTTTCGGTTGTTCGTAGTTCCGAAACTAGACATTATAGCTGCATGTGTCTCCTTGTCTCAAGTAATACTTAACCACAAGCTGGACATAAAATTCTAAACATTCACTCTTACACCTCCTTTGTCTACATGACGGATATATATGTGGAATAGGATCTGATAGGCGCCGGGCCGGTAAACATCTCTGTGACTATTTCTGGAAACAACACATAATTAGCAATTACGCCTTTTTGTCACAGCAGCAGCTTACTATTTCTTCCAGAAAAAGCCTGCCGACATCGATGTGTTGTACCCCTCACAGGGAAAACGCACATACTGTTTCAGAGGTTAAGCCTCTGCCATTGTAGATACGAATGGTGACAGTTGTCGTGGCGCGATTACACTGAGCTCTCTTAGGTTCCCGATACGATGATAACAAGGACGCCGCTTGGAGTAACAAGAATTATTGCATGTTGCTAAAACTAAACACAACCAGTGTCCTGAATATAACGCAGAGGGTATACGAGAGCAGATGCTCGAATATGACACCTTGTAACTATCGCTTCAGCAGGGTGCCATACGCATAGGAAAAATAATAACAAGTGTGTATTGAATTCAACGAGCCAAATGGGATGGGCTTAAAGGCTCATCGTAGATAAAGGGAAAAGGCATGATAAAAACAAAAAAGAGACTCGGTGCTCTGTAAACCAGATTATGTAATCCACGAAAAGAAGGTGATGCATGGCTGGACAGAGCACAAACCATAAATTTGCTTGATCTGTGTGAATCATGATTTTATTTAAAACGATTGCTGGGTATCAGAGCGAACGAGTAGTACAATGCGGCCAGCGTACATTGCTCTAAGGAATGAAACATAGATGGAGCCTTTTCAGGAATATACTGTACAATGAGTCATAAGGAAAGATATAATAGTAAAGCGTACGTTCTGGCAAACACAGCCAACCAGTTGGAACGTGTTTTCTTCTTCAGTGTTGACTACGGCTTATTTTAGCGTGTGTTCCCTGACCTGGCGGCAATAGCTACGTAGCGGCAAGAGCCGTTGTCCAGCTAAAAAGTTTTTACATTATGACGATATAGCCACTCTTCGCGTTATTGTCAATAGTAAGTTTTATGTGAACTGTTAAAGAGAAATTAAATAAAATTAAAGCTTTTTTCCACTTTGCTTGGAGTCAGACGGAACTCATAAAAGCATGTGTCGCTTCTCTGTGCGAACGATGTGTCGATGAATAACTTTCAAAGCAATTGGAAACATGACTCAGTGATTAAATCACTAAGTCTATGAGGATACTAAACTATGAAATTTTTAGACGAAGTCGCATTCTACCAGAATGGGGAATACACACAGGTGCCAGTTGGATGAATCGATCATCCAAATGGGCATGGACCGACTAATGTAATGTAAGAGTGGGCTTATACTCCAAAAAACATTGATACGGGGGAAAATCTATGCGTAGACCGAAGTATAGCTGTTTGCTTCTTCTTAGCTCAGTCTGAGGCTCCTCAAGCATTCAAGCATATTCGAAAGCGGATTGCCTTACTAGGATAGAATTACTGCTCGAGATGAACAGGTTTTGTTTAGTCAGTGCTGGTTTATCAGGGGTTTGTGTCTGTGTTCTGTGCTTCATCTGTCTTTGTTTGATCCACTGATGAGCACTTCTTCGAACCGCAATACATGTGCAGGCTTTTTGTTTTGCTGAATCGCCTAGCCTTTTTTTTGCGTTAAAGTTCAAATCAACTTGTCTTAGAGACAGGGAGTCTGGTCTCAAAACCATTTAGATGTTCATGTGACTACACAGTTATAGTTACCTTTTGCGGTGCAGATAATTTTAAACGTCTGCCGTATTTAGGTTTTGGTACCAGAAGATGGAAGTCACACGTTATCTTCTTTGCTGGCTAAAGTGACCTTAGTCGGTTAGGTCGCACACATGAATGCACACTGGCGTAGCGTCATGATTTACATTGCAGTAGAGTAGAATAGCCTGCATCAGAGCGCTACTCGAGCCGAAATTCAGCACTAGAGCTTGCCCTGGCAATACCTTTACCAATGTTGTTACAGTAATTAGTGTCTAAGCTACCCTTCCAGACAGAGTTATGGCTGTAACTAATCGCAATTACGAAGACTGAACAGGTGACACAAAGGCGTACATTGCTTCCAGTTTTTTTATATATCAACGCGAGCTGTTGGATTTCATAGTCCTGTTAAAAAATGTGAACCAATTTCTTTACTCTGTTTGGCTTATTTCTGCCATGGATGTTTTGAAACTGACTCTTAAAAGTGTATCTTTTTTTTGGCCGACTCTAATGTTTAACTCAAATCGACTGAATTCAAAACAAATAACAAAAATTAGTTGCGACCGTCTATCGCATAGAAATATATTTACTCTAATCGCCCTTCCAGAACTTATTCAGTTCAAGAACTCCTAGATTGATCATAAGTTGAACGCTTTTTGAGACTAAAACCTTCGCACACGCTAATTATTTTAGAGTATTTTTATCGAGATTGTGCAGCATGCGCTGCAACTCACGTGCTATAACTCCGCAATAAATCGCCTGCGTTCGGCGATACATTTTCCAAATAAAGCTTTGTAACAGAAATACTTACCGTCAAAGTAAAAAAAATCCTCTTAAAATGCTTAGAAGCCTTATTCAAGTTCCTCATGTTTAATAGATGTGTAACAGATATGGTGTTTCAATCAACAATCGTTGCTTTGATTTCTTACATCGTAATTCTAAAGTACGTCATGCTCATTTCTATCTCACGACGTGTTCTTTTCAATAATTCCTCCTTCAAAAAGAAAACACAATGAACCGATTTAGTCGGCTGGGTTTTACCAAATGTCTTCCTTACTGCCGCTAGGAATGATATTTTTATGTACATCTATTCATAGAAATAAAGCCTCTTGTTTAGGTTTTACTGGAATAGGCGTTGTTACAGAAGCGCCACCGTTTCTGAGGGTATTAATAGTGTTGTATAACGTAGTATAGACGGCGATAAATCTGCTAAACATAACCAATACGTAGAAACACGAAGATTGGATAATGGGTAACCTACTATATCTATTGCGCCACCAATAGGTCTATGTAATCTGTCCCTGATACTATTTCTTTTGGTTAGGTTCAGGAGGTGACGGATCGTGGAGCAGACAGTGGTGCTCGTGGGGCGGAGACGCCGATTTCGTTTCCTGTGGAACAGCCTGACACTGTTTCAGACAGCTCTGCGTTGGCTTCATCCGTATACGGTACCCCACGGACACAGTGCTCCTCGGCCGATGACAGCCTGTCCTCCGATTCCCGAGACACGAGCTCTTTGGTCTTGGCTCCACTGGGAAGTCATAACGACGGATCATCATCTCCAGCTTCATCAGCTGTTGGGACTCCCACAACCAGACAGCGGTCCACGATAAACATAGAAAAATACGAGCAAGCTGTGAGTTGCTTTTTTTGTAGTTCTACTGTCTTTCACAAATGCCCTAAAAGCTTATCTATTTGTAAAAAAAAATTCGTGTACACCTTAACTGCCCATATATATAGGGAGAGAGATTCAAAGAATAAGTCTATTTATCTTGTACCGTACACGCTATTATAATTTATCTAAGTGGCTTCAAGTCGCTTATTACTCATTATAAACGTGTCTCCAAAATGTCTATTGCGCTAGTTAAGAGTGACATACTGAGACCTATGCGACGTACAAAAAGTCGAAAAGAATAACTATAGATAGGGGCTCTTGGTGTAATAGTACTAGTGTATAAGAATATGCGCTTCTTACTTCACTTACTCATTTATTGTTCAATTATGGCATTCAAAGAACTGATAGCCAGTACGTGTTAGTTAAATCCCACTCAAACAGCTGCACACGTTAAGCGGTTTAGTTGTAGGACTACTAAGGTTTATGTTACTGGCTCTCACATTGGAAAAGCTTTTACTCCTATTGAATTCACTTATATAAAAACAAAGTATAGAAAGTATAGAAAACCCAACATACGCTGGGCATAAATCGAGCCGATCAAAAAGAAGTATATTGGATCCTTAGACGGACATCTCCGATGCAAGCGCCACTCATCCCTGTTTTCAACCCACTACTTTGTTTTGTTTATTTTTTTTTAAATTTGATAAATCTTTACACGATTTTTCTTGTTCGAGTTTACCTGAGATAATTTTATGATGGCATAATCTATAAGCACATCATTTTTCAGCCTCTTACACTATTTTCTTTGAGTTTCGCTGCAGGAAAAACCGAATTATTATGTCTGCACTCACTAGACCTTAACGCGCTGTTCGAATACAATGCGATTACCTTGCTCTCTTTCTTATAGCAATATTCATCGCGCATTTTGTCGTCATTATTATGATTACCTGTTATATTCTCGATATCGCCAGTTTTTGGTCCAGTTGATGACGCTCTTTTTCTAAGTGCCTGTTAACCTGTAGCTACCCCTCGGACACTGTGGCTAGCTTAGAGATCTCATTCGAATATAGGAGCGCGTGCACAATTTACTATACATGTCTACAATAACACAGTTGTCTCCTGGTAGAATATCTGATGTCTCCTTTGTGGACGGCTCCCGGTGTCTTATAGACGAAAAGCAAAATACAGTCATCGCTTATTTTTACCTCTAGCTTAACAATTTGCTTTTGGTAACAGAATACGACGCCGACATAAGCGACGTCGCTGGCCGAGCAAAGTATGAGTTTCACGTGCCACCTAGCGGCCAGTTTCTCACTCATTACTTCCCAGCTAAAGTACTCGCTCTAGTGCATTCATTCATGTTACAATTCAAGTACCATTTAGAATGAGCGTTAAAGAGGATCTCTCGTGTATTGTACTGGATAGAAAAGTGTAAACGGACCGTAGACAGCGTTGTAGAACTCGATGTAGCAAATAAGTGAATGCAGCGTATCGTTTTTAGCTTAATTCAAAGTGTTCAGAAATGCACTGAAAGAGGAAACAGAAAGGATTGGCGATCTGTAACTCAATTTTGATAAATACAAGGGTCTGACAATGCTGACAACTAGCCAACGTTTAGAGATCGAATCGAATCGATTTAGCAGCTTGTCTATCGCCGTATGTTTCCGGCATAACGGTGCAAAGTCAATAGACATCAACAGGAGCACTTGTTTGCTTAGTCAAGAGCTACAGAGCCATAAGAGATCTGCGAACAGGTCGGAAGATAGTCTGAAAAGGCTATTAACGAGCCTGAACAGTCACTATTAGCTGTTCGTTAATTTATCACCAATTACCTAATAGAATAGGGGCTGTTAACTGTAACGTCAAGAACTTTCTTGCGATCATAAATTTATTTCTATTGGTAATGTGTAACTAGATATTTAAGGTGAATCGCTGCATTTTTCTGTATTTCCACTCCAATGTCATACGAAATCTATTAATTTTCTTTATTATATTTACTGTCGCCTTGCAAAGTTATCTATTGGGATCGTGTTGCATCTAACAAATCCGATCAGTTAAACTTCTTTGCTCGCGTACGACTTACGAACGTTTGCAAATTTCAGCTCAAAGACCAGCGAGCAGCAATTGAAGAACGAAATTTAGTCATTAAACAGCTGACAGACAAACTGCGAGCAACGGCCGCCGAACAGGACGAACTTTTAAAAAGTGAAAGGGAGCACGTCAGGGGTCTCGAGATGGAGCTGGATGCCCTAAAACGGAAGGCTGCCGCGGCAGCGGCTCCCGAATCAAACAACAACAACAGTGGCTCAATAAATAAAAGTTAGTTTTACAAAGTTGAGCGTTGCACAAAATGAATAAATTTTAGTAAAATTAATACGAAAACCTATTGAATAAAATTCGTCAAGCTTCGACGTAATCGAACTTGTACAGTGCATGAATTCCTATAACGGTACGTTCTAAGGTCGGTACTTACCGAGGTTTACTGGGTCAGTATAATCATGTATTGTCGCCGGAAAAAAACAGATTTAGTTATTTAAAATATTTACTATACATAAATTATGTTGAATTCACTCAATATATAATGTTCGTTTGGGTAACACAGGTGTATCTGAATACAGTTTTGTGGAACTACGCTTAGCTGAAGCCGACATAACTATGAAACAGCAACGGAATCAACTCGAATGCGAGCGGAAACAAAATGCTTCGATCCAGCAACAGGTACCTCTGCGACACTCGAGCTTTTCATCATAGTTATTTTTAGGGGAAAATGCCACAGAAGCATTTGTCAGATTTTCACACAACTTTCAATTCTATGAATAGGAAGCTCTGCATAACAGGAGATCTGTACGATTTAATTTTGCAGGCCCATATTTATGAATTGCAAGTTCGAAGTCTACAGGGACGGCTGCGTGAAGCTACACAGGAAATTCAATCTTGGAGAAGCAAGGTTGGGGAGGCAGAGAATCGTGTCAAAGCAATGGAAGACCGCAATCGTGGTTTAGAAGGCGAACTAAGTGAGGTGAAAACCCAGTTGATATGGGCTTCTGAAGAGCATGAGCAGGTATGCGTTGAAAACTGGTTAAATGTAATTTGACTTAGATGACATTTAGTTTTAACATTAAACGCCTCTGAGCGTTCATATTTCGCATAATCAACAACAGTCTAATTCAGATGATAAGAGCCTGTATCTGTCGCGTCAATGAACTTTCTCCATAGGATTCAACAAGGGAAGGGCAGCTTCTAATGCTACCAAGTATTGGGTAGGTATAATACGTTATTATTTTTGCCTTTTACTTAATTTTTCTGTCTTTTTATACATGCTTCTTTTCAGGTACGCGTGAAACTACAGGCCCGCGAGAGTGAATATAAGCGAATTAAACAGGATCTTCAGCTTCGCACTGACAGCCTACGAGAAGCGACTAAAAGGCTCGAAGCGCTTAGGCGGTATGAAACAGAAAGTAATGTCATTCACAAATCTTTACAGCAGCTCAAGGACGAACTAAACCAGTCATTAACGTTGAATCGCTCGCTAAAAGAAGAGCGGGACCAACTGCAAGCGCAACTGGCCAACGCAAGCGCATGTTGTGGCTGTTACGGCAATCAAACTATTTCGGAACAAACACAATACCTTGATTTCCCTCAAAGATCCCCTATCGCAGTAAGCGCCCTATCTTTACCAGGAAATATGCGTAATGAAGTTAATGATCTTTTGGCAAGGTGGCCTGACTGTGGAGTAACGCAGGAAGTGGAAAATATCGGTGATTTAGTTGCAGTACTCAAATCAATTCGTGAATACGTTTTGCGTGACAAAGTGCAATTGGAAGAAGAGCTCCAGGATGTGCTTAAGGAAGGCCAACAGGTTCAAAGTCTTCATGACGTTGTTGGTGTTGTTCAGATTCTCAAGGCATATGGACTGCAGGGCCGGAGAGTTCCTGGATTAGAGGCAGAAATTCGTACACTCAAGGTGGGATACGTACTGTATGCATTCCGCTAGCTAATGAAATGTATATATACATAATACTATCATAAGTAACAGACAATTAAATTGTTGACAAGTAAAGTATTTCTTGCAAATCCTTGAATATTGTTACCTAGGTGAAACTAGCAGACTGTGAGGCTCATCTGGATCAGTCTGAGAAAGAGGTGGAACGGCTCCGTGCAGTCGAAAGTGGTCAACCTTTTGTAGAGGAAATTGCCCAAAAACTATATGCCTTGCCAAACGAGAACCTGCAGCTACAACACAAGAACCTGCTTTTAGAAGGGCAGATGGCCAAACACTCGCAGAATACAACGCCTACAAATCCGAACTGCAGCAATTTTGAGGTCAGTCCTACCTTTCTTAACTGTCACGTATTTCAGAGGAAGAGGTGATTCATAACGTTTTTTTTTTACAAAGCATTACAAAGTATTAAGCTCTTCAGGCAGTTCAAACGAATTCTAGGTTTTTTTTTTATAACATTTTTTTTTGCAAACGAAGTATTTTGTTTTTACCAACTTATACTTAATGTGTCACGGTTTCAGGAGAAAATTACTGCAACAACTCCCAATAGGTCGACGACACCGTCAGCAGAAAGTTTTCTTCTCTTTGATACTACCCCTTTGAGGGCCAATCCACTTCGTGTGAACACTCCACCACGGTGCTTGCTTGACATGACTAACATCACCTGTCGCACGGAGAACAATGGAGATGAAGGCCAATGCAACAGTCTCTTGACAGAGAATATTAGTAGTTTTTTTTTAGTAAGTATTAGTTAAAAAGACTTCCGCACGTTTGCGTTATTACTCGGACTTTTTCTTGTTTAGGAAAATCTAAGCTCCATTATGATGAAGGAGAATAAAATTGTGGATATTTTATTAAGTTTAGCACTAAAGCAGTATTTTTTTCATTACCTAAAAGATCACTACCTCAATTCTGGTTTTAGACGTTGGAGGAGTTCCAGAATTCAGCCGACAACCTTCAGGTCGAGAAATCTATGCTTATCAACCAACTCAATGACAAATTAGTCGATGAAAAATCAAAACGAAACTTTAAAAAACTTATGGATATATGGGAGTACGAGAAACTTGCTTTGTATAATGAATTCACGGAGAAAGTTGCCCTGAACCAAAAACAGGTGGGTTGTATGTTAATGTCAAACAATACGGTATTATCCTTTAGTGGCTTAGGTATATTTTCCGAGGTATTCGTATATACCATCATTAATACTCCGTTAAATATTTCCATAAATGCTTCTGCAATTTGTAACATTTAACAAAATCAATCCAAGTAGTCAACCCTAACGCTAGTCATCGGACACCGTTATTGAAGCATTGCTCAAAGTGTTCGTAATATAATCTAATTTTATCACATGCTAACAAATCGAAAAGTTTATTACATTATTCTTTATCTCTTTATCATACTTTACAATCTTATATGATAGACTTATACATGCATTTCTTTTTAGATAAGTTTCCTTTTTTGTCTTATCACATCGTGAATTATGGCACCTTTATAATGCACCGTGCGGTATACGTTATTTATGCAGTTTATTTCGGGTAAGTGAACTTCAATGTAACGCAAAAAGAACTTTACTTATTCAGTCAAATTGGAAATTGCAGACAAGTGAAGCCGTTGAACAAAAATATCTCGCTCAGATTGAATCCCTTGCAGCTAAATGGGAATGTGAGAAAAATTCTGCTCTTCATGATCAGTTATTAAGATATCTTCATGATCTAAGCGAGCCGATGACAGTTCATGATCACATTGTTGCCATCAGAGCACTTCTCGAGAAAGACCTCCTCGGAAGCAGATTTCTTTTCAGCTGCAAACTGAAGGCCCAATCTGAAACGGAAGTGTTGCGACAGGAGAAAACTGACGGTGGAGCGGATGGTGACTGCGTTCGCGATATTCAATTAGTTGGTGTCACTCAACTATACGAACAGTTATGTGATACGATCGAGAAGTGTCGGCTAAATTTCGAGGACTTGTGCGGCTCACTGATAAAGGAAGTAAATGCGACCAAGGACGCTCTAGTCCTCAAGGACAACAATCGTATTAATCAACTAGAATGCACTGTCGATGACACAAGGAATCTACTAGTCAAAACGGAAACGCACCTGAACAAACTCACCCAAACCAAGGAATCGCTCGAAGCACAATTAAGTGGTGCAAATAAGGAGTTATCAGAACTACAACAAAAACTAAATCAGGTAACAGAAGACTGTCATTTAGGGGCTTTGATCACTCATCGATCGACCAACGCAGGTACTATCGCGAGCTTAAGCCTTCAAAACGGCTTAAAGAATTGTTTTGATCTCGTGCAGCTAATGTGACTTAAACAGCCAAGCCTCTCGTTGAAATCAACTAGGTGATCTCTGTTTCAAGTTTCGCTAATTACACATTAATACTAAAAAATCGCTAAAACTAAAAAAAATCAATTAGGCTTCTATTCGATGAACCGCATCCTCGGACATAGACATGTATTAATTGACAAAACTAATTTTTCTGTACACTATCGTCTCTTTCTGTTCGACGGAAATGCAAGGTGTCCGAGGCAAATGATCGGTTACTAGATATTATAACGAAAATGAAGAAAATATTGGGTGTTGAGTGCGAAGATAAGATGTTGCCGGCAATCTTGGATGAAATGTTGACTATGTCCGAAGTTTCCGGAGGTTTAAGTTTGGCGGATCTGGCAAAAGCTCTGCGGGACGGTGCCGAGCTAGCGGAAGAAGCAAAAAAAGCCCTCATAATGGTTCGTCAATCATATTTTCTGTACTTCATTCGCGAAAATTATCCATATCAAATCTGTTGACGACACTGTCAAACTCTTTTTACTTGTCGGATTTTTACTTGCAGCGACTTGGCGATTCTCAGATGTCATTTGACATGAGCACTATGAGCGGAGTTTCCGCAGTTTCAATTGCCGAAGACCAGCTAAGCAAGCTTCGTAAGGAATATGACCTCTTGCAACAAAGGTTGCGGCAAGTCGAGGATGAACGTGATCTCCTTGAGAGCACGTCAATAATTTCGGACGTAGAAACAGGCTACGAGGTGAAACTATCTGATTCTTTAATCAAGCTTGTTGGAGAACTGCGTCAGGAAAAAAACAAGAACAAAGAGGTACGGAAATGGCCTAGTTACTCTCCATTATCTGAAATGACTGATTTTCCTTCGGTCATTAACTATCCTTGTTTCCTTAGACTACACGACATTTCGTTTTTTTTTTTCTCTAACGCTGTTAATAGTACTGTTCCACTATTATAAATTGCCTTTTTGGCTTTATCGAAACAATTGCATCAAATATCGAACCTGTCGAAGGGCAAAAGGGAGGCTGTCCTTGACTCGTTTTCACAAAGCAAAGTGAGGGGGAGAGAAAAAGCGAGCTCCTGAGGGCGTCGCCCTCAAGACTTCTGGGTTCCGGCTACGGAGGTGAATGATCATGATAATGGTTGTCTTGGTGATCCCTGGGCTGGGCCGTCGTCTGTTGCGGATTTTCTCGCACTCCAATTATAGCGGATAGTAGTCTTCTTCGAGCCGAACTCTAAGAAGTGATACTCCGAATTTTAATTATCTGGCAGGAATGAGAACAATGTGCTCACAGCAAAGAACGAAAGCACATCACGCTGTACCACAGTGATAGTATTTGATCAGTCTCATGAATGAATGCTTGCTGGTTGAAAGCCAAAACTGTCTAGTGTGTTATATATTATCATGTCACTGTTTATAAGAATGAATCTCAGATAAATATATTGAGCGCCAAGGGCTTTCCTGTAGAGGTGTTGTGTATGTATTCGTTACCGTGGATGAGTGCATTTGCGCCCCCTGGATGACAATGTACGCCCGCTACGGAGGTTAAGATTTGTGCAGACCTGAAAGCATGATGAATGCATTAGATAAACTTGTGAACTGTATTTACAGTTGCGACAAAAATTGGACGAGAGCATAACGCAGGGAGCAAATGGAATCCCTCAGGGTCCTTCTAAACGGTAAGTTGCCGTAAAATCGTACTGTTGAGTCAATTAGATACGCTATGTATAAAAGTATTTGCATTTTGTGCACAGTTAACCTAATGTTAGAACGCAAGACCATTTGAACAACTGAGCCTTCGCTTGTCAAAATGCCTATAGTTTCCGTGGTAGTGCTGTGACCGGAAATATATCACCCCAACATGCGAAGATATGTCGAAAAAACCCTAATTATATAATGATTTATTATAATAAATAGTTCACTCCGGGTTCCGTTGCATTAATGTAGCACTTTAATGTATAAATGCGTTTAATCGGTGCACCGGCAATTGCAGTACTTAACCGTATCGACTAAAATTGGCAGGTTCACTAGGAAAAATATTGTTTATACCATACAGTTAGCTATATTGCTTAAATTAATCGTCAAGTAAGCTCTAATGGATTCTTGACAGTTTTTCAAAACGTTTGTTCTGGTAAGTGTATGTCAATGTATGCACAAATGAACAGACGCCAACAATAAAATGCAGATTGTACAATGACAAGTTCATAAACCAAAGTTCAGTGTGTGTCTAAATCTGTAATTATGTGCGTATTGCCAAAGGTGATATCCGTGCTCTGTTAATTTTGTTTATCGTCATCTGCGATTGCTTTACCGTCGTCTTCCTATTGTGGGCTTTACCGCTCTGAACCTTGTGCTTAAACGGACTTACTTCTACTAAGTTCTCGCAGCATCATATTTATACACAAATACATACATACGTGAATCATTACAAAAATAATCATTTCACGGTGGTTGGTGAGGTGTCCTCACAGTGTCATGTGCTTTGGCGATGAACAAAGACCAAGGCTGTCATTGCAGCCGCAGGCAGGGACGCCTACACCCTCGGCGTACCGACAAAAGGCTATCCAACAGGAACGATTGAATCTCAAATTGTAAGTGTATAGCTGCGTGTGTCGAAGGCGTCTGTTAAAAACGTGCCGTGACAATGTTTTGATCCGAATGTGCAACTCGAAGGGCATGCTGTACAATCCTCCAACGCCCACTTGATACGATTCCGAATCATATGCTTTTTCTGTCGCGTAATTTGCGGTTACGATCGATCCTTTTTTCACTGGTGAGCACTATAACATTTCCGTCTATTCTGTCTTTACCATTTGTCAGTGGACTTAGTCTCTACTTCTTCGATGTATGCGAACTAAAGTATCAGGCATCCCGAATGAATAGACAGTATGTTATAATGTACATATGTGTGCCTGAATGATTTGCATGCATGCATGCACATTTCTTTCAGCTGACAAACTAATGTTTTTTTTTTCTTTCATCTCACTTGTCGTTTTTGGTAATTTAACTTTTTAACTTGAATTTCAAACCTTTCCTTAAAGACCGCAAAAAAATAAGCAGTGCTTGTTGCCTAGAACCTACATGTCTGCGTCCTAGTAATTTACAGCGACGTTGCAATGTATGCAGGTTTACGATATAAACTTCTAGATAAATATGTGCATATACAAATTTTACAAAAAATATTTAAAAATGGGACAGTTCCTTGAAATGACACCGTCTGTGAGACCTGGCGTCTTAAAAGATTACATCATATTAATTTTTTCTACGAAACATGTTTAGTTAGTTAGGCATAAGTCAACAAATAATAGAATTCTACGAAACTTTTTACAAATCAACGTTAATAATTGCGCTATATTTTTTATGAGCTGTATGTTATACACCACTTCAAGATGGCACGTGCTGCCGCATCTAGGTGTGATGATGGTACAGCGGTCTATCTTTGCAGAGTTGCTGACCTGCTCCGAAAAACTCAGTAGAGATGTTGTTTCTACAGTCCACGTTAACGTGTTCTTTTACGCTTCGTTTGAGTATTCAGAGATAGATGCATTGACTCGAAGAAGGCAAAAAGTTTCAGGGAACCTTGAGAAAGCGCTGTCTACGCAGGGACTCTAGTATACGCATCCATGGCTTGGCCAGCTTCCCATAGCTTTTTCTCCAGCTGCTCGAGTGAATAGGCAAATCCCAAAGCTGCTCACCGCGCTGTTGTTGCCTTAACTCAATCAAAAACAAAGATAATATTATTTTATATATGTTAGCCACTTACGTTAATTGGTCGTTTCATAGGTCGCGTTTATTTGACAAAAATATAAGGAAATGTTACTTTTCGAATCGTCTGTCTCTTGAAGAATCAGTCGTTTGTGTCATCTCATCTGTTCAGCAAGCTGACTTCACTGTTGCAAAATTATGAATCATTTAAGGTTTCAAATCTCAATGAGTTGTATTCGCAGCAGTAAGTAGCAGAGAACTGCTACCTCAATTACGTCGTTTCAAGTAGAACTTGCATTGCTTGGACATAGAATAACACTACCTTTCTTAGGGAGAGCTTTGAAATGCAACGGAAAAACTTATGTTAGTACACCAATAGTCAATGATAGTACTGACAATTTTCGTTGTCTTCATACGAAATTTCCAGCGCACTTCAGTCCAACGAGCGTCTTCTAAGTATATTGTCAGATGTCGTGAAAACATGTGTTTCATGTGACCAGGACATAATCCGCGCGTTAGAGGCAGTAGGGGTCGTTGAAGTATCTGGCAGTGCCCGAAATATAAGCAAAGATCGAGACCGACAACCTGAAGTTGGTGGAGTAACTCATACACCTATAGAGAAAGCTGTTGAAGAAGAAGAACCGCTATTCAGTCTTGGATCAGCTCTCAATGGTAAGCAGACACCATTAAAACTTTATTAACGATTTCTGATGTTTGTTTCCTCCTTCATTCGCATTTATGGCGTGGACCATTTTCACCTTTAATAAATGAAAACACCGCTTGTTTACTAAAAGCAGTAGCATTTGTATTTCGTTACACCAGCAAATAAACAAAGCCAACCTTCAATTGCAGCCAAAGTCTTGCGAAAAAGCTCACACCTATCAAATACGTGCAATTAAAGTATGATGCAGCGTCTGATACACAGACGTGTATGCGCCTCACGGAAAGTCTTTCTATTTCTTTACATGAACCATATGGGGCGTTCTAAAGGCGACAAATTAAATATAAGCCTTAATCATAGGCAAGAATGCTTCCAAGATGTTTTTGACAAAGTTTCATCTTTTCTCAGTGCTACCGACGATAAACATGTTAATGCACGCTTTAGTTACCGTTTAATCTGTTGACAGCATCACGGGACGAAGGCATGAATGGACCGTATCCATCAAAAGAGGAACTGAATGACCTCCTTATGGAAGATGCTCTCGAGCTGCCTCTGGTGTCACTTCACGAGGGCGCTGATCCACAGGACGACATGGTGCTGGTGCCTTCCAGACGACTTCGCGCATCTGTTGCGCAGATGGTGGACTTCATTAAAAGCAGCCATTCACAGTGGACGGCCAAGGTAATGAAAATGCGTCAAGTATCGTTGTGTTGTGACTTTTAAACCAGCTCAAAACAAAAAAACGATTATCATTTATTCATTATAAATAAAATGAATTAATTGGTAGTTTAATAGCAAAATATAAAACATTTGTCTTTCCTTGGTTTTTCTATAAACAGACGAAAGAATTAGAGGAACGCTTAGCTCGGAACGAAGAGGAACTCAAAGACGAGGAGAGAGTTCGAGAGGATCTTTGTAATCAGCTAGCCCAGGCCAAAGGTATTGTAACTAACACGATATAAGCTTTACTGCGAATTGTTAGCATGTCTAGTCTACTGGGAACTTCAGCTTTCGACAACCCCTTGCCCTTTTTGTCTCTGCTGCCGTTATATCGGCATCCAGTGTATTACGAAGATCTCGCTTTACCGGCCATGTTGTGTATATGTTTGCGCGTCTGATTTTCTTTTGTCCACTTAATCGTTTCTAGCAAAAAATATCTACCCAGAACATATTATGCAGTACGTATTAGCGCTATGAGCTCGGTGGCTATTAATAAAGAAGTTGGGTAAGCGTGCTTTTTAAAATTCAGGAAGCAATCACGATCGGTGCTACAGCGTTGCGCGATTTGACTGTATTATTTAGTGTTTATCTACAAGTAGATATGGAGTGGACTCGTCAAAATGATCAGATACAATGCGGCCTTCCAATCATCTCGTCTGCTATCATTCATAATTAGCATGTATGCACTAAAACATCATATTGACAGAAAAAAATCACGCAAGCTTCAGGGTATATAGGTAACGGATGGGTAACTGGTCTTCCTATAGAGTCCAGCTTAAACATTGTTTATTGGAAATATGGTATCGAACTCTAGTCGCTCTAGTTTTTCGAGTCACACGAATCGGACAGCTAACTCATAGCTTGTAAGTTTGTCCAACTATAAATTAAGTCACTAACAAAGTAACATGTCAGTAAAGCATTGGCAATAGAGCCAACTGTTGTAAAAACCACACTGTGTTAGCCTTTGTCTACCAGAAATGCGCTAATATACGATATGTGTCGGATATCTCTGTTAATGTCGCGGAGTCGGCTGTGACATCGAAATTTGACGATTGTAATAGACTAAGCATGTTTCTGAGGTACTGCGGACCCCCAATACTGATGGACGTATCGATGGCCATTACTGGTAGACAAAAATTCGTAACACCTTACGACGCTGCGAGTATAATTAAACATATCGCCATACACTCACAGGATTAACAATGGAAACAGCACCAGTTCTAATTAACTCTATAGCTGAATTTTCTCTTTATGTAAAAAGTGTTACACTAGCTCCCCGATGAAACTCGCCATTACATCTCGTGCCACCGATGGTTGGACAGCCGCTCTCAGCCTTCAACGAACAGTGTATGACCACAATGTTAAGCCTGCGTTGTCACATCTATGTGTATAATCGGTGTTCTGGTATTGCCTATACTGACGCTTTGTGACAATTCTCTAACCTTGATTTGTCGGAAACATCATCGACAAAAAGATCATCCCCAGTGGCCATCAACCTTGTCTGAAGTGATTGGAAAGCACTTGTTCTTTGCTCTTTCGTCTTAGAGATATTTTCTACGTTCCTTGCTTTTTGTTTCTGGCTTTTTGCTTGTCATCGCGTATTAATGGATGCATTGCGTACATAGGTTGACTGATCAAATTCGTGCTAGAAAGAACAAGAAAAGCATTCGTCGACGCTACACCGGTATGGATTATAATGGCCCTCACTTAACTCTGAACAAATCTGCTTGGGTGCCAATTACCAACTTATGCCCAAATAAAAGCGCCTGTACTAGACAAATTGAGTTCATCGCTACGGCCTGCCCAAGCTCAAATTCGCTTCGAACTGCGGATGACCTTTATTCGATAAAAAAAAGCACACATGATTAAGACACTTGTCGAAGATGTGTTATTCATTTAACAAGCTATGCAGAGTTTATTTCTGCAGTCCCTTCTCGTCTGCACTGGTGCCCCTCTGTTAATACTACTTGTTTGTCAGTCAAAACACTTTTTATCTCAGCAGGGCATCTCATATCACAGAGCTTAGAGTAATGATATAGTCTTTTACAACCGGAAATAACATTGTGGAAAACATCTCGGTCGTAGAATGTCTGGCTTCTTTCATATTCTACTTTGTCAGTGTAGGCTCGTTTAGTTGCCTCTTACTGGTGTCAACAGAAGAGGCGCCACTTTGTCACAGATGCTCGAAGTACTACATATCAATTTCGATGTGGCCACGGGTAAACGATATCCTAAATGCAGGTCGTTATACTTTGCTTTGAGCGACCGCTTTCTAAAATTCGTGTCTGCTTTCTGTCACCAACTTCTACGAGATCGTTGACTCATCACGGTCCGTCTTTGGCTTCCTGTCTCGCGTGTTTACGTCCTCTGTGTTGACCATGCTGATCCTTGGTCAACTGTGTAGTTATCCACATTATGAGGCTGAAGGTAAAAGAGCTCCGCGTAAACTCTGGCGTGTCGCAGGTTATCAGAACCAGTTTTTAGCTTCAAACTTTTTTTAGAAAAGAATACCGTAGAGGACTATCAACTAAAACAATGATCAAGCCGATCTCATGCTTCATCATATTGAACACTGAAGAAGAGAAACCTCGTTGTTTACCTTTTCTGTACTTAATGACAAGCCTCTTCGTACTTCGGGAAATTTTATTATAAAACCTTGGTCTGTGTATCCTAACGTAATCTCCTAGTCCCTTCTGTTTGTTTTAACAATTCCACAGAGCAAACAAGTTGTTTATTGTATGGACACAATAAACTCAGCTGGATTGGCGCCCGTGTATCTCTTTAACTGAGCGTATTTCAATTTTATCTTCGTTCGCATAGGCATAGTAGAAAAACATCAGAATAAAAAACAAAAATGAGTTCTGTTAAGTAACATTAACGTAAAACAGCGTAACGGTTCCATATTTTCGCTATCGCAAGTACAGCCTGGGCAATATAGCCGTCTGCAACTAATACCGGGCTTCATCTAGCCACGCACTGTTGTGGTTCTATGAGGCAGTGTTAGCAGCATCAGTTGCTGGACTACAATAGGGAGGAGCCAATGGGGAGAACCGAGCGAGGGTAATCGAGAGTACCGATAGTACGAACGGACTCTACGCCAGCGAAAGCGCGCATCGTAGTGAAACCAATGGCATAGCCAGTTGGTTCTCCACCTTACAACCTGCAGAGAATAGAAATAGTCAGCACCGTTTCCTCAAGTGTTCTCGCCTTGTCTGTCTATCTCAATTAAATGTAAGTGCTGCAGACGACTCGACGGGCCATTTAAGCTAACGTAACGTGAACATAAAGCGTATCCGCGGAGTTCGAGCGACTTGTGTGATCTATGGTCTACTAAATAGGGTGACGCAACAAACAGTAAATCAGAAATAGAAGCGTAAAGAAAGAAGACTGGAATCTCGTTTGATTTTTCGTGACGTATATTGGATATTTTGTTCCGCGTTGTTATCGGTTTGCAGTTCTTGCCTTTATGGATTATGTGAGTTTGTCGGCTAAGGCTTATAGTGGTTATATCGGATAATGTCCAATACCACTACTTACATCCGGTCCACTATGCTATTCAAATTCGCTTATTGTGAGACGAGGATTTCTTACTGTTCATGATGTTAAGGTAGGCGTCAACGCTGCTTTTAGCAGCAGGGGACGGATAATGACACTTCACAGGCGTATTTACGTGTGTATGTATGTCTGTATATAAATATATCGGTTTTCGACACTCCGAACAACTCATCGTGCTCGCTGAGTGCAGGGATGGGCATCGCAAAGATTATGACAAGCAGTAAGAAGCGTTTCGAACACCTTATAATGCTATTTTGTGAGATCTCGAATTCGAAAGATCGATTTGAGCTAGTCTTGAAGATACCCCGTAGAATACGCGAATTAATGGAGGGACGATTCCATACCGATCATAGCTTCGCAAGTGTGTAACCCGATGGATAAAGCGAAATTACACTTACAGCAAAGAAACCTGAGGAACGACGGTTCTTACTGGTTAGTTATTATGATTTTACGTACGTAACTGTTACAAAAGTTTCTATAATGTTAATGCTAACTTATGATGTGGACATGCAGTTTAACTCAAATTGAGCTTAACTTTCCCATTGTTTATTATTGTGTTAGGTCGGAAAGTTACGATATATCTTATTTTCGCTATTTCTTTGCCGATGTCCGCTAAGCGATAAATAAGATCTGAATATTTATCACTCATTATCGGCGACGGTTAGTTAAGTAAACTCTACGGAAAGCACGTGTTGGCACTAAATGGTGTTGAGGTTGATAGGACGCAATATTCCCAACTGTGATATCCCCCATTTCAGCCCTAGGAGACAGTTACCCATTCCTGCAGCTTTGCCAAATTCATAGAAAAAGTTTGCAGTATTGTTACACCTGATCAGCATTAATGGCATCACACTCGTTGTATGCTATTGAATTGATTGCAACCATACCGAGAGGCTGTAAGCCCATGACGACGATACCGAACTCAACAAATACGTTTTAATAGATTTAGTTTTTAGTTAACTCGAGGAGTGACTGAAGCAGTTACTTATAGGATCATACATTTTCTTGCCGGTAACCAATTGTGTCTACAAGAGACTGATAATCTAGGTAGCCTAGGCTGCATAGAGATACTGTTAAAAGCTACGATATGCTAAAAGCGAAATACACAAAAAGTGAGCATACCCAAAACCCTACGTTCGGCTACTTGTTATGAAGGCCGCTGGGAAAAATGAGCCAATACAGATGATCAGATGGGAAGAAAACTAAACCAATAGAGACTAGTATACCCGTTGTAACTACTCTTGCTAGCTATATGTGCTTTCTATTGGTTTGATCTTTTTCATTTTTGAGTAACAGCTTTCACTGGAGCTAGTGAATGACAACGGTTCGACGAACCAATGGTATTTGGCGGCAATTTAGATACAGATTGCTCATTACTAAAATGTTTATGCTCGATTTTTAGTAAATGCGTATGTTCTTTTAGGGTTCTAAAATATGGAGCATAGCATTGGCGGGAATTCGGACACGGTCATGATTAATTCAAATCATTGTATTTAATCTTTGAGTTAATGTGTGATCGGACACATGTTTAAGAAGACGTTAATTGTTATTGTTGTTCCAATTTTTAGCGAGTTACGGGTTTATTTGATTGGTTGAATAGAAAAATCTGTTCAGCCTTGTGAATAGAAAGTATGATATAGATACCTTATTCTGTTGATTATAGATATTCTCTACTCACTGTATTGCGTGGTCTTAATTAAAAATCTTACTGTTGCATAATGAACACTCTCAGGCTAAACTATTCTCCAATGGTTTTCTGTAACATACAGTTCGGATATTTACAATGTTACCTCTGTTATCGATGTTATGCGCGCAGAAAAAGTCATCATCGGTGAAGAGACACGCGATCGGTTAACGGCTGAACTCTTGGAGCTCAGTGGACAAAGACACCACATTGAACACGCGTTTAAAGAAAGCGAAGTTGCCAGACTTCGGCTAGAGGAGCAGCTTGAAGAGGCAAAGCACATGGGATTGGTCGAGCAAAAACAGCGAAAAATTTTGGAAGCAGCGGCTGCTGCAGCGTCTGCACCGATAGGGATACAGTCAGGTCGAGACAGCAGTGACAATAACGCCAAGGAGTCGATTGACGTCGCGCTTAACCGTACGTAAATCAAGTCAACTCTTTGAAACGGAATTAGATACGTTTGTTTTTAGTTTAAAGCAGTTAACGGGAAACATTTTAGTAGCGTTCGCTGATTAGGTTTTACATATTAGGGATTTGAAGTACTATTTTATGATTAGATAAAGTTTAAGCTTTGGAATCAAGCTGAAACTAACTCATGGAGTAAGACATTGCTGGCGCTTATTGTCCTTTATTTATGCGGTTGAATTCGGAAAGTATATATGACAGCTAAAGCTGCCATATAGATATACTATCTGAGGTGAAAAACGCTTCTATAATAGAATAGTTCGGTTCCGAGGTCACTGTAACATCCGTTGAAGTCAGAAGTGCTATAAAAGAAGATTCTTAAAATTTTTTTTAACTGTCCTCAAGCATTTATGCTATATTATTACAAAATTATTGGTTAGTATTATTGTGTATTAGGACAATGAAAGAACATCAATCTATGATCCTGATTTGAACTAATTATTATTCCGTCTATCATACTATTAGATGCACTAAAAACAAAGTAGGGTGTATAGGAATTTTTCTAGTCTTAGTGTATATTTTTTCGACGATTTGCTGCAGTTCCGGTTCGTTATTTACGCAGTTTATGCTTTTTGACTGGGACCATCAAACGACACTGTTTCATCGCTACGACCATGTTTTGTGCTATTGATGTTCGTTATATTCGGACACGTTTGCAGACTTAAATGATGAGTTCCACTGCCAGCATGACAAGGGTTTATCTTCAAAAACGAAATCATTAATAAATTCGATATTATAGTAGAGAGGCTATTGTTGGCTGAATTGAAGATTTCAACAATGAATATGTAAAACAAACGTTCAAATATGCAAGTGTATCTATTCGATTTTGCCTACGCCATCACTGCTTACTGACGGATTGCTTTCAACGTACCTGTCATAACCAAATTGGTAAAGAATAGGGGGCACATGCCAATGCGTATTTATTCAGATGGTGAAATACATGTGTGTTTTTGGGCTATTTTTGTTAAACGATCGCCGAGGGTCTGTTTATTTCGACACCCAATGCCTAAAATGTGGAACAAGCCATCTTTCTGTTGCAATTCGAAGCCAGTTTTACGAAGCTGTTACGTCGTGTTCAATCTAGAATAGCTATCTAAAATTTGATTTCGCTCTATGTCCTGCCCCTGACATTGAATCAGGCGGCTGCGGCACGAAGGCAAGCACCTGTGAGGATGGAGCAGCTGAAGGCAACTGTGGTGATGGTGCCTGTGGTGACGGTGTAAAAAGATTCTCAGGTAAACAACCGGATCGTGATATCCGTGATGCCATCAACAACGAGATTGACCTGTCTCTGTGTTCGCACAACAACAACACGAAATTAAGTCCGACAGTGTTATGTAACGAAAGTCGTTATACCTGTCAGATGCGCGCAAACAGTGGAGCATGCCTTTTTAACAACTTGCTTTTAGCTTGTTGACTCATTGCAGACATCGATATTTCTTGGCCATGGGGGAGCACATCACGAAATGTGTAAATCATGGCCATAAATGATTGACGTTCCTATGTAGAAAATGCATTGTCTCTATAGATGTACTGTATCACAGACATGGCCATATGTATGTCCGTCCAAAATTGTATCGTACTAATTTGTGACCTTCATTGACAACTTCTCAACTAACTGAGGTTTGCTTGGCTGCTTGCTTCAGTTGTAAAGGCAATTGTTTATGTCATTCAGAGCCAACAAACGATGTACTTCACCTTTCTTTTTCAAATTTACACGAGGCGACCGATATGTTCAGCTTGTTCGGTCTCTTAGTTCCATAATCGATGCGAAAGATCGATTGTTTGGATCTGTTTAATGGAACTAAAGTTATAAATTCGAGTGATAACTAAAAGCTAGCTTGAATCGCCGATCCTATGACAACCTTGAAAATCTGACATTCTGCCTGACTGCTAATTCTTTTTACCTCCCGGACGCTATCAATTTCCTGTTCATAGGAGTATCTCTTTATTTTCGGCATGTAGTTGATGTCAATACTTCCGAGTCACGTTGGATCTACCTGAAACGATCCTACCTATTAGTTGTTTCGTTATATGTCAAAGCAAGCACCACTCTTCATCTGTTTCATGTACTCTCTTCATGGTAAAAAAAAAAAGAAAATAGCGCACATACAGAAGCAACTGTAACAATTACTTTTTCTGTATGAATTCTACAACTATCTGAAAATACTATCTTATTATCTTCTTTACTGTTGCAGTCCCTTTTGTTGTCAAAAGTTAAGTATAATTAGTTGTATTCGCTTCCGCTAATATAAACCCAGCTTTACATGTTTACTATCCAGCCGTTATTTAGTGGCTCACTCTAATCTGCTTGTATCTGCTTTTGTTTTTATTATACCTCCTCGATTCTGTTCTATGATGATAATTATAGGATTGACGGAGGAAAACTGTCGACTTGAGCGCGAAAATTTAAGTTTAACACGCAGCTGCGAACGCCAAATCTCACTGAGAAACGAGCGCATTTCGGTACTTGAGCAAAAGCTTGAAGAATTGGCACACGAACGAGATCAGGTTAATATAAACCATGCATTTGTCAATCCATGTGTCATAATTACCGAAAGACGTCAACTCAATGTGTATTATTGAAAATGTGAAGTTTCTTATGAACATTTGTATGTACGATTTGGAAAATTCACTTCGACATAGCATGTGATCACATTCCGACACACTGGTTTCTTCCATACCAGTGTAAAATACGCTTACGTACGCGTCGTCTATAAAATTAAAGTTTCACAAGGTTTATCATAAATCGCAGAACTAACCTCCAAAGATCGTATCCATTTATTTGTCTTCGGAACTGTTACTTTGTGAATTATTTGCAATAACCGGTTTCGCGTTTTAGGCCGTAGAAGAAGCTCAGGCTGTAATTCGTGAACGAGACGAACAACTAGAAGCAATGGAACGGCAGCTGCAACAGAATAAGAAGTTCTTCAGTGAAGTATCACAGGAGAAGGATGCCGAATGCGAAGCTCTTGAGAGGGAGATTCGGAACCTACAAGATACACTTTCTAGGCAAGAAGACTAGATTTAGGTAGCACAGCAGGATGTTACGAGCTTTAAATATTTCTGCGTATGCGAAGGTTTCATTGTGATTTGTGGTTAATAGTCTAAAATGTTCGCCTTCTAATGATTCAGTGCGGAGATCGAATTCCTTTCACGTTTGCATAGTAATATACAGTTTTTGTTCCATTATATGCTTGATATGATATTAGCAAATCAAAGTGTGCTAGTTTTACCGAATTGAGATAATCGCAGTGTTGAGACGCCTTCACAACGTTATGCTATTGCTTCTGTCTTGCAGAGAACGCAGTCGCCGTTCCACGGCCCTCGATGAAGACCGTCAGGTTCAGTTGGATTCCCTGGAAACGGAACTCCGCGAAAAAAGCACAGCCATGGAGGCAATGGCGCGGCGTCGCAGTGAACTTGAAATTGAGCTCAAATGTGCTCGAGAAAAGATTGACGACCTCACCGAGGTGATCAACCGACTCGAGCAGGACCTTACAGCGCGCAAGATTGCACGACAACTAGGAGAGCAGTTCCCTGAGCCGCGATCGCTTTCGCCGGCTTCCGAATCGCAGGTTTCAGAGCAAAATCAACACCAGCTATCAACCAGTGAAATGTCCACTAATCACCAGGACATGGAAACGTCCTTCCGGGTGCTAAAGGAACAGCTCCGTGCAAAAGAAGGGGCAGCAAGACAAGTGGAAAAACAGCAAACTCTCTTGCATGAGGTGTCATCGAGGCTGCGTATGATGGCAGAGCGAATGCATTCGCTAATTGCGCCATTACAAACGGGCACTTCCGATGGTGGGGTGTTAGCGTTAAAGGAACCAGAAGAGGACCTACTTAGTCCCAGTTCAAGTGTCCACTTGGCCCAAGTACAAACATTTGAAAACAGCCTTGAGAAACTACTACAGCTTGTTGAGACACTGAGAAAAACAGAAATCAAGTTGAGGCAGAAGGTTGCACAACTTGAAGGCGAGTTTAAGGTAAGACGTTTTTGTTTCATAAAACAAAGCTGCTTCAATGAAGCTCTGTCCGTAAACACGAGTCCCCCTTTTGAACACCATCAGAATGAATGTATATAAAGTAATATTTCCGTATTTGCCTCCTTTTTTTAGGAGCAAGAAAATGAGATTTCCGAATACCAATTGAAGAATGCTGAACTGCTGAATAAACTAGAGGCGCGCCAGGTCGATATGACTCAACCATCAATTTTCGCGAGCGACCTTCAGAGGCAGGTTATCACTGCCGAAAAAAAAGCTGAGGGTCTTGAAAATGAATTGAAAATCGCCGAGGACGAAGTGCGTACTCTGAAAGATACCAAGAACTTTCTGGAGGAACGAATGGATGTTCTTGTACGAGAAACGCAAACGTTACGAAAGAAGCTTGCTGTGTATGAGGACTGTATCTCATTCGGCGCTGGTCAAGATGAGCTTGACCTGAGCAGTTCGTCCAGTCGTTCGTCACCGCGTCGGATGCCTTTAACACAAAAAAACCAAGCGGAACATCAGCAACAAGGTATACTAATGGTCCAACCTAGTCCAAAAGGGTCGGTAGGATCATTATGTCGACAATGCACCTGGATGAAGGAGCTACTGGAAAAGCAAGATCTCGAATTACGTCGTCTGCGAATTGACGCATTTGAGAAGAGTGTTGCCGAGCGAGATAGTAAACGTGATTGTGCTAGTGTATGCTCATCGTCAGAGATGAGTTCCTCGCCGGATGGTTATGGTTCGCACCAGTCGGTACAGCTGCAAACGAGTTTCCGCGACGCCAGCCTCAATCGCGAGCTTCAAGAGGAAATTCTCACTCTTCGTAGTGAGAAAAGTCTTCTCGAGCATCGTAAGGGTGTACACGAGGCCAAGTGTTCCACACTGCAATCCGAAGTAAACAAGTTGAATACTCTCGTCGAACAGCTCCGCAATGAAATGGTAAGCAACAGTGATAATTAGCGAGTTTTCAGTCTGCCAACTTATTTTCATGCCTGCATAAAAAATATAATTGAACTAAGTGTTTTTCATCATGATAGAATTGAAAATCTACCGTATGAGGTAGATGTCAACTGATGTATCTTTTTGACAAACCAACAACCACAAAGGCTGCCTTGATTCGCGCGTGCTAAAGCAGCACGATCGCTTACATACTAACTAATCACTAACTAATGTTTTTCTCGAGCTTTGATAGAAAACAATGGTGCCTCTCATTGAACATGGTCATCAGATTCGTCAGCTCGAGGAAAGTTTGAACAAAGAAAAAATGGACGCCGTTGGAGAACTTGAGATTCAGTGGCAAGACCGGGTCGAGCAGGAACGAAAGATGCATATTCGGGTTCTGCAGGAAAAAGACTGCTTGTTGCGAGACCATCAGGAAGCGCTGTCGTCACAAAAAATTGAGAAAGAGTTTCTTAGTGAACAGCTGCGGCTCAAAGCCAAAGAGCTGCGCGATGTGCAGTCTACGCTGGCAGCTAAAGAGCAGATGCTTACCAAAGTCACTAAGGAATCTCAAAAGCTACGTAAAGAAATCGAAAAGCATAAGGAACAAACGGAGCAGGTAGTCAAGGAGACCGGTCTTAAAATTAAAGAACAGATGGATCGTAAAATAAACGAGCTCGTTAGCAAGCTGCAGGAGTCTCGTAAAAACATGAAAGATGCCGAGGATAGAATTGAGGCCAACGAAAAGGTGTTACGTCTGTGTAGTGTAGCACTGCAAAGGCGCGTAGATGCTGATATATTGGCAGGCCTTGCCGATGCGTTTCCTCAATGCGGTTCCCTACAATGGCTTGAAGGTTGCGAGAAGTGTCCAGCACTTCAAACTGCATTAGACGAAGCTCGCTCCGAGATAGAAAGCTTGCGCAACCTCGTTCGTGCAGGCCAGAGTAACGCTATTGCTGAAGAGGAGCTCGTAGCTCTTCTTCATAAGCTCTATTGGGTGTTTCGGCGATCTGAAAGTCGCCGCCTGCAGTTACTTGTTCAAAAATCTTATCTTCAAAATTGTGCGTTAAGGCAGTTAGAATTTCCTGCTCGGAAACGGACGCTCAAAACAGCCGCAATCGTCATTATGGCAGTTTACAGGTAGGCAATAATACTGCAAAAGTCATATCGCATCACTACGAGAAAATTACCTCCTCCGGTAATTTGTTCTTTTGCCTAGCTAGCGTAAATATAACTCTAGTGAATGCATCTAGTTAGTGGTATAATATTCCATTAGTTCATGGACATGTTGACCAACTTGTATTTATTTTTTTTGTCTCTTTTCCAGAATGAAGCACCGCCGGCTAAGATGGACAATGGCTGCTGTAGCATCCCCTGATAAAGCAGCTGTCATAGCTAAAATATCGCCCTACATTCAGTCAGTGCCTCGTCCTAAAGATCTCCAGCGTGCCCTGCAGCCTGCAACTAATTCTAATGCTGCAAATGGTAAATAAACGCGGTTCTTTCAAATGTATTTCAACAGCTGTTCTACACACTTAAATGAATAATTAAACCTTATATTTACTTCTTCGCACGTCTGTTAGCCTTCACAGATATTACTATCCTTCAATTTTTTTGTCCTACAAATATTTCATGCTAGATCTCTATGTAATCCTTGCTTCAGTCGCTAGGAAGCTGTATTCCTATTTCTACGCCAAGGTCCGACGTATGCTGAACTCGTACTTGCATGCTTGTGTGCCATATCTCGTGGATGAGACAACGTACCGTGTTATATTTGTTTTCCTCTTTCTTTTCGTGTTTACGTCATTTTCTTATCTAGGCTCTAGTCGGTACCCAAACCACGTTTCAAAATTCCCCCAAGTCGAGGGAGTGTCTATCCCGCTTGAACAGCGTCCCTGGCCTATCGTACCTGGAAAATCGACCACGGTTTTATCGCCGGGACGCCAAAGGGGCCACAGAGACGAGGACGGCTTGCAGATACGTCAACGGAAAATGTATGTTTTGGTAGTACAAGCATGAAATCTTTTTCGTTTGTTCGCATTTCTATCTGTAATTGCACTGAAAGGAAGCATGCTACCTATCCCCGAAAGCAGCTTTCACTGTAGAAACTGATGTGTCGAAATGCTTGTGGAATTGTAGAAGCGACTTTAAAGTCTTGAATGATGATTAATTAAACCACAAATTGTACAATAAAGCGCAAGATATTTATGCTCCTATTCAAGTAGTCTAGACAGAGCGACCATGATTTGTTGTTAAATTTTATCGTGTTAAGCAATTTAGAGTACCCCTCTGACTAGGAGAATCCTTAGAGTTCAGTGTTTCGAATAATGATCATGTGGCCAGACACGTGTTTTAATAACTAGCACTAACGTCCACAAAACTTCGCCGTCCTAATAACTCGTTTTTCTTATTTCAGAACTTAACATCCGTCTGCTCGAGCAAATTTCTAACTTTTAGGATTTGTAGTACAAAGAATTACCTCAAAGGAAAATATTTGTAAACAGAAATTGTAAATATTATGTTCATATGTATAGGGTTTGTATAACTGTTTCTTCAGAATATAATGCAACACGCTGACAGATGTTTTAAATACAAAAATAAACATTTTGTGAAATATAAGAAATGATCTAACTTGTTTTGTATATAATATGTATAGTTATAAATGCGATGTATTCTACACTATTTTTCCCCCAATAGATAGACAGCGACCGGTCAGAGAATTCAAAAAACAGGTTTTACTCGGATGGAGTGTGCGGAAAAGAGAATGAATTAACATCATGTAATTAGATAACCAGCTCATTTGCACTGCAATTTATGATATAATTTTGTATGTGAAGACTTATTACATGTATCGAGGTAATCTTGCGAATCTATATGCCTTGGTTGTGCCGTGCCTGTTTTTCGAAGTATACGTAATTCGAAGCAACTAGCTTCATTTATTTATTATTTATTATTAAGCAGTGGAATAATTTCACTTCATGGAAGAGTAGTTGACGGAACATTACCTATTATTAATAATCTCTTGGCACGTGGTTCTTGTGTTATTCACGGTTGCGGGCTGACTGAGTGAAAAATAGTTTTTGAGCAAGTCGACAATATCACTTACGGAAACTTAACGAAGTATCTGAGCGAACACGAATTATAGGAAACTAATGCATTCTGAGGATACAGATACGCTCGAACATAGGTATACAGTAGTATGTAACTGTGGCAATCTGGAAAAAAATTTTAAAAGCCTGCGTAAACTGAAAAACCACTATATCTATATAGGGTACATTTATCGAAAATATGAGAAACACCAAGCTTTTTCGTGGATCATACCTTTGTGCATCCTCTGCCCTAATCGTTCTATTCTGCGAGGTGTCGGTCACAAACTTACCTTTTTCCACTTGCTTTGGACCGCTAGGAGAAGCTCCTACATGTTGAAGCATATCAACCTCAATATGTTGGACTTCATTCAAATATATATAGCAAACATTTAATACATTGGGAAATTACCTATAATGATGGAACTAATGTGCGAGGAGCCGCGCAATTATGGAAAGATTATTGCACTATATTTCAAATATAGAATCTATTAAAATTAGTAGTAGAAACTACTTGTACAATAAACTACGTCGACTAGTTAAAATGTCTATTATCCATAGCGTCAAAACCAATTTATAACCAAAAGACTCACTAATCCTTTGATTATATTTGTTTTTGCATTTACCTACAAATAAATAATGAAAATTTCTAATAAACAATAAACGATCTTAGTTAAAGTAAAGGTCAAAATGGCATTGCTAATAATATGAATTTTTGCTTGTACTAGATTACTTAATGTGAGTCTTATATGAACGTAGCACACAGCAGATGCCAATTAATACTCATTGAATTTATTGAAACAGAATTTGTTTAAGCCGCTAAAGCCAATGGCGGCTGTGTTTCCAAATTACAAAATATACATCCGAATCGTCCATATAATTTCGTGGTCGAATACGATTTTTTGAAACATAATCAATATCACTCCACTTTTGCGTTATGCCTTCATCACCTCCATTCTCCCCCAACCCAAACCCCAACCTTTCAACCTCAGGTCATTTTAAGCACCATCTCTACCTTTGTTGGGCCTGTAATTGACCACTAGTTCTTTGTATCGCATCATATTCAGACTACTATGTCCCCTATCTCCGACGATTCGCATCCTGTATCATCTCACTGTAGACCCCCAACTATGGAAAACCCGCCGCTATTTCACCTGTTTTTTTATTTTTGATTTACCATTTTCTCATCAAGCCCTTCGCATATACATTAGATACCTTTTAGTTGTCGCTTTTTTAGTTTCTTACCCATTTCAACCGCCATAGTCTACACGTGACCCCTACGTCTCCCTATCGTGCAGAATTTGCGCTTACTTTACGTAGTGTTCAGTGTCCCCTGCCATAACCTCAGCACGGGTCAGACTCGTATGTTAGAGGTGTGTACATGTTCATATATGCACACGCGTTTTCGAAGGCATATGCCGCATGAATGTTCCTACACGGATCTCCTGCAGCTACTCTTTCAGACTTTTCTTCACCGCAATCGCTCTTATATTCAATGTCCTAGCATTTATTTCTTATTCACTGGCTATACTTTTGTCTTTTCTGTGTATCGTTATCGTTCGAAGCAATTTGTCATCATCACTATCGCCATTAACCCCAAAGATGCGGAACTTCTGTACTCGTTGTCAAATTCACTTTTCTCACTCGTTTTTTTCATTTTGTCAAAGATCGTTCACTATTGTGACTACTGCAATCTACCTTCACAATCGCTTAAACGCGAAGAATTCGATGTCATTATTAATCAGAGGCAGGGCTAGCTTTTCCCGAACTTCACCTTCATTCAACTGTGCCGTTTTGTTAAGAAAGAAGGTGATAGCTCAAGAAAAGAGGTTTCATTACATAGTTTCAGAGATGACCATTCTACAAGCAAGATTTCTCTTGCAAACAAGGGGAACTAATGCTGGTAATAATGGCAAAAACAAAATGTTTTCCTCTAGAATACAATCAGAGACATCAGTCTCGAATGATCTAATACCAATTTTGCGTTATTAGAACTATGATCTCATCACCATCATCATAAGTATCAAGGAACTCATCCCCCCTTGTATAATGTTGTTTTAGTTCTGTAGTCGTTATTAGAGATGCGTTTTATCATCCTTGGTTTTGCTGTTATTCTTACTGTCTTATTATTTTGCCAAAGCTAAATGACCCAAACGAAGGAATCCAACTGTAATATAATAATGTAATATAATTAATAATAATAATTAGTCTTGTAAACCAATCACAGCACTTAAACCAGAGTTGCCTTATCAATCTTCGGTCTTTCTCTGTTCGACTTTAATCTCTATCAGCATAATCCACTTCTTCTAGTAGCCATCCGCTAACAATGCCTTCAGTCACATCGAATCATCTAGCGTCTCTACGCTCTTACTTTTCCATCTCGATTTCATCATTAGTTGTGTTTCATAGTAGTTTTATGTACTCAAGTTGCTGCTCTTGCTGTTGTTTTTGCGACTGCTGCTGCTGCTGTTGAGGCAGCATTGCTGTTATATTCCATATGGCTGTTTTCATGTATGTGTGTGTGTTTGTATAAATCCTCTTGCTCCAACTCCACTTGCCACGAAAGATTTGTTGTTGGTTCTTCCTTCTTCTCTTTGAATCTATTGGGCGATTGCTCATGGTATCTGTTCACAATTATCATATGTAGCTTTCATCATCATCATTTTGCTTCTGATGTCTTCATTTTGCTCTGTGGTCGTCAATACAGGCGCAAAACATCTCGTACTGCTGCGGTTATTCAACCGTATTATAATGTATTCCGTACTTGTCTGTACGTGTATGTGTAATTGTGTTCATTTATCTATATATTTATGTATATATGTATTCATTACGTATTGACATTTTACATCGCCGAGTTCAACGAATCGTCTTTATTTCTTTTCTACTCTCTATGAACCTTATATTACAAAATACGAAAACCTAAAAGGAATCAAGAGTTCCGATCGAACGCGTGGTTCGCCTCTTATAAGCTGTTTCAATTTCTTATTGTTGCTATTGTCGAGTTGATCATGAATTGAGTCGCGTTATGCTTCGGCCAATGCACTGTCCTCTACAAATTATTTTTTCGCTGTGTTTATCTACTATATGTTTATATATGTATATCATGTTATCTAATCGATAGTGGGCCATCTGCCTTTACAATTCGTTCGAGCAGTTGCCAAACACTGTTGTTGCTATTAATATGCTTGCTGTTATTTTCATCAGCATGTCATAGTTTTGTAGTTGAAATACTATAATCGTTGTAGTTGTCTTCTTCAGTGTTATTTCTGGATGCCCGTTTGTTTCTTCGCCTGTCTTTGTTGCTGTCTTTTGCTGTGTGTTCCAAATCAATTACATCCATCTATGTCTATTATATCTATATATGTATATATTTGTATGTATATATATATATTTATGTACAACAACAATTTTTTGTCCTCTCCAGTTTGTCCACATCGTTCTCGATAATGAGGGGACCGGCTGGCTAGATAGATTATAGACACACTGCCCCACACTATTTTTAGATAAGGGACCAAACGTCTGCTGCGTGTCATTTGGTCCAAACTAGACAGGCAAATTCATTTGTCATTTCATTTTCTCGTGCTAATGATGACCCCATGCCCCTACCCCATGGATCGAGGAGATCACACCGGGATGTTGGATGCATTATGTGTGGTATTAATATACTGGATGTCAAACGCTATGAATACGTTCAAGTTGTTGTTGTCGTTGTTGTTGTAGGTGGTGGTGTTGTTGTTGTGGTTGTTGTCGTACGTTGGAAAGCTTGTTGTCGTGTCACTGGATTTTGTCAATTTTATAGTGTTCTCGTTGGCATTAACATTTTAATGATTAATGTAATGATTTGCTGATGTCACCATTACTCTGTCGACTGTTAAACGACATTCCGCGTCGTTGATGCCGGTATTGAGATTGCTAAACACAACGAGAGAATATAATTTAAACAGTGGGTGACAAATCCATTCAAATTGAAACAAACAGAAAACACCCCCACAGCTAGTGATGGTTCACATTTTTTATCGATTATATGTATCTCAAGCACATCACAGACTTGCTAGACACACAAATTCATCGTTCGTTCACCCGGCAAAATGTGGGTGGTTGTATCCACTGTTCGAGTCCCGCATTGAAGACCTTTTTTGGTATCAAAATATGAACACGCTGTCGTAATGTGCCTCGAACAATATGTTGTTGAAAGAAGTTAAAACAGTTAAATCGTACTTGATCCTTAGGTGAAGTCTGACAAAGCACCTTTCCGTAAAGCGGTGCCTGATGAATGATCGCTGGGTAAGACAAATATCATGCATCATGCTATTTTTTGTGCCCCAAGAACCATACTTCACCCAGTTTTTTGTCTTTCTTTGTCATTCGTTACTAAAGGATCAAGGCAAGAACAAACAGCACTAGGTGAAGGCAGGATGACGATGTTAGGTTAGTTGCACGCGTGATTCCACAGCGGCGAAAAATAATGCAATGACTGCATTATCCGGGTTCAAAACCTAAATAAAAGCAGGGCAGCGGTCTACAATAAAGTTGCTGCGAACATGAATAACTTCTGCTTGTTTCAATTTAACTGGCTGTCACTTGCGCTCATACACACGTTCTGCAATCGAATCCATTTTTGCAGTAGGAATAATAATAGTAGCTGACCGACACTGTTGTACGACCTGCGCCTTCTTACTCCTAACAAGTACGTATTATTTAAAATACAATTAAACTGATGATAATCTTTCATTGATAAACTTACCCGATAAAAATTTATTGTAGAGAAATCCGCTACTAACCGATTTCGCACTTAGTTTAGTTATTTTTGGTGGCAGTTTGTTATATATTTTATGTTTACGATTTTTTTTTGCAACAGAGATTATCTTGACCATTTTTTATTCGAACATTGTATATAACACCAAGCTATTGTTCTAAAGATTGACAGATCGATCAATAGCACTATGGCTTTCACAAATTTCCAAAAAAGGTCGACCAAAATTGTGAACGTATTCACCTCAAACAATAGTGGTTTATGACATTTATCGCCTTTATCGACTCTATAGCCACACAGCCCACCACAGAATCAGCAAAAGCATACAATTCGGCAAGCGAAAACGGATATTTAGTAACAAGTAGAGGAATTCAAACTATATAATAAAATATAAATTTTTTCAATTGGAACGAGAAGATCGATCAATCAGACTTGCAGACAGACCCAATTAATTCCCTCAGATCGTACAAACAGCGTGACATCACAACAACACATTCCTGATTGGCAGAATATAGAAATCACTGACTTAATTGTATTGAGGTCATAGTACATGAATGCGTGTCACACAATAAACACAGGCTCGGTCATTTACACACGCGCCCACATTCAGATATACGCATATAAAACAAACATCATCACACAAAGGGAAGAAAATAAAACGATTCAGATTCAAAGCGAAAAAAAAAACATTTCAATAACGTACGATCAACATTACCGACATCCACGAACGAAGATGTGTGTATATATAACAGTAAAAATAGAAATAATAATAATTATTATAGTTGAGAGCCATCGTGAGTTGACTTTAAGGCTCCTGTAAAGCCTTCCTTGTTTATATGGATCCTGTCCTACAGTTAGTCAACTCTCGTTGTGTTCATCGGTCAGTTAATCGCCATCCTCAGCATTATAAGCATATTGGTCTAAATTTTCAAGTAGCTTGACTCATCTTCATCATATCGCAAGTTTCGTAATGACCGCATTTTTGACGGTCCATTGCTACTGCTGCTTGATGTTGTCATTCGATTGGTCGTCTTCATTATTTTCTCAGCCTACTTATGATCATTGTCCCTCTCGTCTTGTTTTAATTACCTTAACATTTATACTTTATACACAGATTATTCTATCATCTAAAGGGAAGGGGGACGCCATACTATGGAGCCTGGTCTGGCCCTCAAGGCAGCAATATACAACGGGGCATATTACAAAGCAATCAATGTCTGTGAATGTCTGTCTTTAAACGCTATGTACGGTTTCAATGCTTGTCTCTGTCACGATCGATGTATGAGGTCTGTTGAGATGTCGTTGTGTGTCAGCTATCGTCACGGCCTTCGATCATCAATCAACATCGAGGTGTCACAGGCTTCACCTTCACATAAGTGTTTACTAGTCTCTTTTCATTCGCACTGTTATTCTTTTCCTTATCTTCAATTGTGTTGTTTATGCATTAGGGCACAGATGCATAGAGCGTATCGTATAGCATGTTTCTTGTGTCTGAACGTTTTTTGTATTGTAAGTCGGCTTTGCTTGTAAGATTACGTTCTTGCTTGCTGTGTACTCATATATTTGCACGTGTGTGTGTGTGGCTGTGCGTTTCTGTAGTTTATATTGTGTATCCTTGTCTCTGGTAGGTGAAGTTACACCTCGATGATTCTTATGTGTCTCAGCTGAACGACCTTCATATGGGCCTTCACTACAGCTTTTTTAAATTCATCTGATCGTCGTCAGTTATTACTATCCCACTGTCACAGTATCAGAAACATTCTTATACAAAGAACAGTTTTGGTTTCCAGCCCTTGCTGAGCCCTCGAAACTAATTATTATTATTTGAGTTTGCCTAAAATTTGAATGTTACATCGACCCCTTATTGGGGCTAATCACCTTGTTATATAATCTATTGATGCTATTACCTTTGCATATATATATATATATATGATCTACAATCGGACGTGTATAGTGCGGTTGTTTGTTCAATGTCTTCTCCGCTTCGTGTGCTTGTATCTGTTATTAATTTCCGCCTGTGCTAGTTTGTCCGTACGTGCGTTTGTCATTCGATTCGTTTCCGCTGAATTCGACTCACTTACGTTTTTACAATGTGGCGATTCCCAATACCAACCATATTGGCTGCCGGTGATCCTACACAGTAAATCGCCGCAACGACGGACTGCTATTCCACTTATAATGTATTATACATACAATGAATGTCAAAAAAATCACGAAGCAAAAAGAGGATGAGTGTGCGAGGATGGATGCTGGCGCTGTTTGTGTTTGAAATTTTCTTTGTCTGTTGCTTCACCTGCTGTTTGCCTGCTTCTTGCTTGTTAGTTGCTGACGTACTGGTTTCTTATTGTGGTTTGATCCACGCTATCGTCGTCTTCTTATTTTTCAATCGTCTTCTACTTGT